ATTAGCAGGATGAACATATCACCATATGTTTTAAGAACTTTGCTTTCGTGAAAATCGAAAGCTAAATTTCCAGCCATTTTCTCCTTTAACAAAAACAAAATACAGTAAAACCTCTATAAAACAATAATGTTGGGACTTTGAAAATTTATTATCTTATCGAGTTACTGTTTTATCGATAAAATAATTATTATTATTTTATAAAAATATTCTATAAAAAACAAGAAAGTTTATAGAAATATATGTAAGTAGGTACACGTAAAGAATCAATTGTGGCTTCGAAAACTCTTCACAACTTTTGGCCCCAGAAATTGTTGATGCAATAACAAAAGTTCGAGATGAGCTCCAACGAGAATCCAACTTTCATAAAAGACAAACTACTGATAAACCTAATTTTGCTTTTTTATAGAATTCCATAAAGGAATTACCTGATATGAAATTCTTGGCTAAATTGGATGCATTGAAAGGATATTCATAGTCTGAAGGGTACTCAAATGTTTTATTTGTCGATCTCCATTCATTTCTTGACAATGAATCATTTACTCGCTCAACTTAAGCTTCGTATTTCTGAAAGGAATTAAGTAATGATGAAAATGATATTAGAAGGCTATCATAAGATCACGACGGTTTATATGTAGAATAAAAGTATATATGCGAACCTGGAGGTGGCTACCCCACTTGATGTTGACTTAAATCTTGGTCATTCAGTATACTCAATATGGATTTGGGATGAGAATCTATAGGATTAATGAGTATGAGAAAATAATATAAACAAATGAGAAATGGTTAACAACAATGAAATAGAAGTCTTACCATTGTCTCTCAAGATAGAGATAGCAGCCAAAAACTTCATGTGACGTTCTTGAGTCCATAAACTCCCAGGTCTCCCAATATTATTCTCCACTTTCTTTTCTTCCCTTCTCTTATTCTCGGTCTCAATTAGACACACCGGTTTGGTTTTCCATTAAGCATTTGCTACACTTCTTCTCTTTTGGTACATTTCAGAAGCTTTGAATGTTTCCATAAATGGTCTTTTTCCTATGAAATATGCTTGACTAGTTCTCTACCTCTTAATAATTTTCCTGAAAGCTTCAATCTCTTTTCTATATTTTCCGCAAAGTCATCTTGCTTTTTAGCTATGTCGATTTTCGCTAACTCTTGACTTTTCTTAAGTAATGCATGCTGCCATAGTTTTTTTTCATTTCGTTTTCATAAATTGGCTTCTTCAGAAAATAGCATGTTCTTCTTGTCAAAAATCTGATGCTTCTTTCGTCTTTCTCTCCGGACTTATCACTATTAATGAGTAAAGATTAAAGAGAAATTTAACTTTGTTTAACGAAATGGCAAAAACAGTAATCTGAATGGAAATATATTCAAAAAGACTTACATATGAGAGGAATGTTTCTCTGAAGCAAAGAGTTGTAGAATGAATGTGAATCTATGTGAGCCATTTCAACGTTGGCTCAGATAAATACAACCTGCTTTTGCTTTTCGATCATTGATATAGCTTTACTAACCACATTCATGCTAATCACTAATTAAAAAAAATCAAATTATATATTAGTTATTTAAAATTTTCTAAACCTTCTGGAATACTTTTTTATAGATTTTTTTCGATAAAAATATGAAAGTATTAGAATTTAGAAAAATCTATAAATAAAAGTATTCCACAATGTTTAGAAAAAATAAATAACTAATAAATAATTTGATTTTTTAATTAGTGATTAGCACGAATGTGGTTAGTAAAGCTATATCAATGATCGAAAAGCAAAAGCAGATTGTATTTATCTTAGCCAACATTGAAATGCCTCACATAGATTCACATTCATTCCACAACTCTTTGCTTCACAGAAACATTCCTCTCATATGTAAGTCTATTTTAATATATTTCCATTCAGATTACTGTTTTTGCCATTCCGTTAAACAAAGTTAAATTTCTTTTAATTTTTACTCATTAATAGTGATAAGTCCGGAGACAAAGACAAAGGAAGCACCTAAGTTTTTTACAAGAAGAACATGCTATTTTCTGAAGAGCCAATTTATGAAAAATAAATGAAAAAACCTATGGCAGCATGCATTACTTAAGAAAAGCCAAGAGTTAGCGAAAATCAACATAGCTAAAAAGCAAGAGGACTTTGCGGAAAAAGATATAAATGAGATTGAAGCTTTCAGGAAAATTTTAAGAGGCAGAGAACTAGTCAAACATATTTCCTAGGAAAAAGTCCATTTATGGAAACATTCAAAGCTTTCTGAAATGTACCAAAAGAGAAGAAGTGTAGCAAATGCTTAATGGAAAACCAAACCGGTGTGTCTAATTGAGACCGAGAATAAGAGAAGGGAAGAGAAGAAAGTGGAGAGTAATATTGGGAGACCTAGGAGTTTATGAACTCAAGAACGTCACATGAAGTTTTTGGCTGCTATCTCTATCTTGGGAGACAATGGTAAGACTTCTGTTTCATTGTTGTTAACCATTTCTCATTTGTTTATATTATTTTCTTATACTCATTAATCCTACATATTCTCATCCCTAATCCATATTGAGTATACTGAATGACCAAGATTTAAGTTAACGTCAAGCCGGTAGCCACCTCCAGGTTCACATATACACTTTTATTCTACATATAAACCATTGTGATCTTGGGCGTGATTGGTAAGTGCTCTGAGTGCTCTGTGGAGCAATTATATTTTCTAGAGCAATAGTGTTAAACCAATCAAACTTTGATTTCATTTTTTAACTTCAGAGCCATATTTTAAATATGGAAATATTTTGGCTCTGTAGAGCAGATTTTTCAGAGCACAAATTTAAGGACTCTGAAAATTCTCTCTCTTCTCATTCCTTATTCTCATTCTCTATATTCCTTTTTCAATATTTCTTTCCAATATTTCTTTTATTTATTTTTAATGCTACATTTATGATATTTTATAAAAAGTTATTTATAATAAAAATTCTACAGCACTAAAATCTACAGCCACAGCAAAACAATCTACAATCTAAATTCTACAACAAAAAATCCAAAGCTACAGGCGCAACCAATCAGGCCCCTTATGATAGCCTTCTAATATCATTTTCATCATTACTTTCTTCCTTTCAGAAATACAAAGCTCAAGTTGAGCGAGTAAATGATTCATTTTCAAGGAATGAATGGAGATTGACAAATAAAACATTTGAGTACCATTCAGAATGTTTTATCGGTAGCCATTCCAATTTAAAATGTTTTGAGTTTAAACTTTCGCTCCTCATATGCTTGCACCACATGAGGTATATAAGAGCATATGTATCGGAGAAATTTAGAGGAGTTCTTCCTCAAAAAATAAATAAATAATAAAATAAATTATAACATGGCGCGCTGATGTGGCAATTTATGGGAAAACGTCTCTCGAAGAAGAGGTGAAATCGATTCTCAAACACAAATTCAATACGTGTCATAACTTAATTGGAAAAATTGCATTTTTAACCTTGAAAGTGGCAAAAGGTAGTATTTTAAACTTCGAAGTATACAAAATTGAATTTTAAGAACTATTTTTTGTATGCAAAATTGAACTGTTAAGCTGAAGGAAAGTGAGATAAAATCTCTATGTACTCATTAAACAACAAAAATAGAGCAGCCAAAACCCAAAATTGAAGATTGGATAAAGAAAAATAAAATTTTAATCCCAACTAATTTGTACTGTTATGGATTTCTATGAATTCTAACCACAAAATTAAAGATTGGGTTATGAATCTATCTTTTCCAATTTTGATTTTGCTTCATTAATCTTCCCCTAATGATGCTGGATCAAATTGATACATATTCAATCAAAGCAACTTCTTCAACACCTTAGCAAATTTAAACATCAGATCTATATATCAATTGAAGTTTTTTTTCCCTAATTGAATCAATTGTTCATTGATTTTTAACTGTTACAATCAGTTTTACCCAAAACTAATTGTAATTTTGACTCTGAATTTCTCATTTTCCATGATATCAAGAGAAGAAGAAGAACCGAGAAGAAGAAGAGAGATCAAAAAATTATATGTTTTAATTTTTAATTATTAATTAAAATAAATAAATTAATTAAAATAAAGTAAACTGACACGTCATCATATTTTATTGAAAAAATAATAGTTCCGGTAATTTTTTTTGGCGGCGTGAACTCCGAACCTAATTTGAACGTTTTATCTGTAAGTATAATTAGTTTGAAAGTTTAAAGTATGAGTGAAAAAACTTTAAGGTTTAAAGTGTTAGCTTTTGCTACTTTGAAGGTTAAAAATGTTGTTTTCCTTAACTTAATTGGTTGTTTTTTTTTCTTTTCGAAAATTCATTTTTTTCTTTGTTATTCCAAATATTTTTTTTCTAACAATATTAAATGTTAAAGACCCATCAACGACTCGCCAATACCGATGTTCTAAGCTTAAATGCATATTGTGCACCTGTGCACCTTCTGGAAGCACCAAAGCACCCATAAACCTTTTTCTTTAAAAAAATTGTTTGATTTATTATGAAATAAACTACACACATGCATGGATATCGTCCGTTCAATATGCACGTTTAATGGCAAAACATATAGCTTTCAGTGATGATTCTGGCATTTGTATAATCTGATACCAAACATTGTGTGTATTGGAGTATATATATACTTATGAAGGTTTTACACCATATTGTTAATAATTGCTCCAATACTGCTAAAGATTTAATAATTGCTTCAAAGCCGCTATAAATGTATTCGGACATGGATATATCAAAATCAGATTTACCATTACTCATGTGTGTATAGTATAAGTGATTGGTTGTGCCGTTTTCTCTGATCCGCTTTCTTTTAGGCTAATTGCCACTCTCTTGCTCTGCAGAGAGCCTGTGTGACTGTCTCTTCCGGCATGAGTTGTTTTCTGTTGAAAATTATCTGATTCCTCGTTGTCCATAAGCCCCAGAAGATCCACGGAGAGATTGGTCCCGATGCGATCCCCGTCGGTGGTAAACAGGTGAGTCTCCTTGCCATTTCGATTCATCTCCTGGCATTCGGGATCAGTGCTGACTCAATGGCTGTTTGCATGGTACTAGGTTCCACACTTTCCTCGCGAATGTGCAGTGGAAGAGAAGATGGAGTGTTGTTTCCACCTCATTGCAGTGTGGGCATCGCACTGATGCATTCACGTTCCTTGCTCGCAGATTTTCTCCGACTGGTAAGGCTTCCCACATTGCTTTCCAGATGAACAATCTTGTCTTTGGTGTTGTGTGTACCTGCCAAATTTCTCTAATCCACTTGAATCCTCTGTGTTGCTCGAGTTGATGGTCTCCTGCCCTTTGCCTTGCTTCCTCATCTGCCTTGATCGCTGCGTAGTATCCGGTTTTTACTGAGTATATACCTCCTTCAGCTGCTAACCAGATGAGTTTATCTTGTGCCCCGCTTTTGCTTGGTCTGAGCTCCTGTATCTGACTCTCATAGCCCGGTAAGATTGCCCTTATCATCTCTTTGTTCCATTCTTTTGTCTTCGGTGAGATGAGTGTTGATACTCGGAGTTCCTTTGTAGCTTCTGTAGGTGGTCCCATAGGTCGGCATTGTGCGTCTAGAGATATCCACGGGTCCGTCCATATGTTTGTTGACATACCATCACCGATGGCTTTTCCTAGGTGAGGTTTCAGCAAATCTCATCCTAGGCATATCCCTCTCCAGCCATGTGACGCCGAGGTACTGATGTCACACTCCAAGAAGTTCTTCTCTGGGCAGTATTTCCCTGTGAGTACTCTTGCTAGTAGACATGATGGTTTTGTGAGGATGCGCCAACTTATCTTTGCGAGTAGGGCATCGTTGAAATGATGTAAGTCTCTAAAGCCCAATCCTCCTTCTCTCTTTGATTTTGTTAGTTTTTTCCATGAAACCCAGCACATCCTTTTGTTTTCTTGGCTTCCATCCCACCAGAATCTTGTTAGCGCTGACTGTATCCGCTTATTCAGTCCCGCTGGTAGCTTAAAACACGTCATTGTGTATGTAGGCATTGCTGCTAGCACGGATTTCAGCATTGTTAACCTTCCCGCTTATGAGAGAAGTCTCGACGACCAACTCTGCGCCTTTTGCCGGATTCTGTCTACTATTATGCTGAAGAGATCTTTTTTCTTCCTCCTAAAGTGTTCCGGTAGACCAAGGTATTTCCCCAAACCTCCTTCACGTTGGATTCCGAGAGTATCCTTTACTCTTTGCTTTGTGTCCCTTCCTGTTTTTGCTGAGAAGGTGATTGCTGATTTTTGTTTGTTGATCTTTTGTCCCGACGCCACTTCATACTTGCCTATGATTCTCATTAGCTCTTCACAGCTCGTGGGGTCAGATCGGCAGAAGAACATTGTGTCGTCTGCGAACAACAAGTGGTTCACTCGTGGGCATTTTTTGGAGACTTTAATTCCCGGCAATCTCCCCAGTTGTTGTGACTTGGTGCATAAGCCAGAGAGGACTTCACTGCAAAGAATGAATATGTACGGTGATAAAGGATCCCCCTGCCTCAGGCCTCTGCTTGGTTGTACAAAACCTTGGGCTGCTCCGTTCACCAGGTACGAGTAACTTACTGTACTCAGACATTGCATTATCCATTGAAACCATCTTCTATGAAAGCCTAGTCTTTCCATCACTGCCTGGAAAAAATCACATTCAATTCTGTCATATGCTTTGCTCATATCTGTTTTTACTGCCATGTAACAACGTATCTTCGCCTTTGACGTTTTCAGGTAGTGGAGGCTTTCGTGTGTGATGAGTACGTTGTCCGAGATGGCTCTTTGTGGAACAAAAGCCAACTGATTTTCCGCTACTATGTCATTGAGAACTGGTTGGAGCCGCAGCATAAGTATTTTAGAGATGATTTTGAAGTAGACATTATAGAGAGCTATAGGTTCCATTCTTTTAAGTTCCATTTTTCCAAGTTGTGGCGGTGTAAAATACTGTAAAAATTGATAATATAACAATTTTATAAGAACCATATGTAATTTCGTTGTCAACAAAATATTGAATTATCTTAAATATTTTAAAATATTAGTTTGTATGTAAATTTTAAGAACACTTAGTGTTTATTATTAACATGTGTAATTTTCTGTTAGTTTTATTTATTCAGAAAATTCTCACTCAAAACCGATAAATTAATAACACGATAAACAAAATACCCAAGTATCCACATTATTAATTACTTATATATTCTGTACAAATATATATATATATATATATATATATATATAAAGTTCATGCAATTCTCTTCTGGTGTTGTCACCTCACTCAAAGTGGGTGCTTCTAAATTCTCCAATTCGCCACGTCAGCATTTATTTAATTTATTATATTTTCTCTTTTTAATATTTTAATTTCATAATAATTAGCATTCATTACTATATAAGTTTAACAAGAATATGAAAAGTCATTTGTAAAAAAGAAAAGATTATGTATAGATCTACAAAAACTATTATTTAGTAAATTTTTTTATGTTAGATTATAAAATTCACGTTGATGTCAAGATATTATATAAAGAACATTGATTTTTTTGAAGTATTTTGGGATGAAATGAGACGAGACCAGACAGGATGAGACGAAAAAAACATAACGAGAGAAGAAATGAATTTTCTCCCACTTCTTATTATATTAAATGACGAGATGGAATGTAAAGGAACGGAAAGGAACGGGATACCACGTAATTTTGCCTATTTCAAATTATAATTAGTATATTTAGAGATGAAATAGAAAAAAACGAAAGGAACATGATGAGACAGGACAAGACGGAAAAAAAACATAATGAAACGGGATAAGACTGGAAGAGACGAGACAGACAAATTAGACATGACGAGATGAAAAAACGGAATGAGACGGGATTAGACGGGACATGATGAAAGAGACACAATAATATGAATTCCCGTGCGAAGCGCGGGTCACCTCCTAGTATATATATATATATATAATGTACTCTTAATTTCTTGCTTAATAATAAGAGGAAATGCCAATTAATTAGTTAGACTTCGTTGTAGTAGAGTTCTCCTATAGACTTCACTCGTAGACTTTATTCGTATACGTGAAATAAGAACATCAATAATGTCACGCATGCAGCCTTAAATGACTGTCATGAATACTTAACATGGCTGGCATGCAGACTTTTTTTCATTATTATTATTATTATTATTTTAAATAATACGAATTTTCTAATGTAGAATATTAGAAAAATGGATCTTATAAGAATGAGAAAAATATAATTATTATTATTTTGTAAACTTTTCATTTTTATAAAATTAACATAATTGTAAAATGAAGTTTTAATTGATTTGGGGTGTGAAATAAGAACATTAATAATGTCATGCATGCAGGTTAAATGGTTGACATGCATACTTAAGATGGCTGGCATGCAGACTTTTTTCATACTTAAAAAAAAAACTAATTTTCTAGTGTATAATATTTAGAAAATGGATCTTAAAAGAACAAGAAAAATATAACTAATTTTCTAGTGTATAACTATTAATTTGTAAAATTTTCATTTTTATAAGATTCACATAATTGCAAAAAAAAGTTTTAATTGAGTTATAGTTTGAAATAAGAACATCAATAATGTCACGCATGCAGACTTAAGATGGCTGGCATGTTTTTTTCATTATTATTATTCTTTTTTTAAATAATATGAATTTTCTAATGTATAATATAAGAAAATAGAATCTAAAAAGAATGAGAAAAAGATGATAATTATTAATTTGTAAAATTTTCATTTTTATAAAATTAACATAATTGTAAAAAGAAGTTTTAATTGATTTGGAGTGTGAAATAAAAACATCAATAATATCACGTATGCATACTTAAATGTAGGGGTGTCAAAATGGAGATGGCTCACATACTTAAATAGTTAAATGGCTGTCATGCATTCTTAAGATGGCTCACATGCAGATTTTTTTTTCTTTATTATTATTACTATTTTAAATGATATGAATTTTGTAATGTAGAATATTAGAAAATGGATCTTAAAAGAATGAGAAAAATATAATTATTATTAATTGGTAAAATTTTCATTTTTATAAGATTAACATCATTGTAAAATGAAATTTTAATTGATTTGGGGTGTGAAATAAGAACATTAATAATGTCACGCATGCAAACTTAAATGGGTGACATGCATATTTAAGATGGCTAGCATGCATACTTTTGTTCATACTTAAGATGGCATATGCATACTTAAGATGACTAACAATAGATGGCATATGTTGTCTAAACACATAATCAAGTGATAAACGAATCATAATTTGATTTTAGACATAATATCAATGTAAAAAAAACAAAAAAAACTTATGATTCCTGTGACGCCTTAGCAATAGAGAATATGGATCAGCAAAAAAACGATCACAAAAAAATCAAAGATTTATAGTTGAACAACGAGTAGGATACCAAGACAATAGACGCCATATATTGGCTAAACACATAAACAAGTGTTTAACTCCATATTAAACAAATTTTACGTATAAAATATTAGAAGAATGGATCTTAAAAGAATAAGAAAAAAGTAATAAATATCAATAAGTAAAAATTTCACTTTAATAAGATTAGCATAATGTTAATAGAGTAGTTTTAATTAATTTGGGGTGTAAATAAAGGAATATCAACAATTAAAAAAAAAACAATTATAGGAAGAGAGAGAAGTAAAGTGTCGTAAAGAGACTTCTAGTGATAAAAGGAAAAGAAAAGGAAAAAAGTGTTAAAGGAATTTTAAGGAATTAAGAAAAAAACATTAAAAGCCTGATTGGTAAATTAGACTAACTTTACAGGCTTTTAGAACTCTAAAATGCCCCACAGCCTAAACATCTGTCACCATATTCAAAGTCCTATACCCTAAACCCCAAACTGTGATAAACGAAGAATAATTTGATTTTATACATAATATAAATATAAAATCTTATGATTCCTTTTACGCCTTAGCGATAGAGAATATGGATCAGCAAAAAAACGATCACAAAAAAAATGAAAGATTTATAGTTGAACAAAGAGTAGGATACCAAGACAATAGATGACATAAGTTGGCTAAACACATAATCAAGTGCTTAACTTCATACTAAACAAATTTTAAGTATCAAATTTTAGAAGAATGGATCTTACAAGAATTATTTTCTAATATTCTACATTAGAAAATTCGTATTATTTTTAAAAATTATAATAATAATGAAAAAAAGTCTGCATGTCAGCCATCTTAAGTATACATGACAGCCATTTAAGTCTGCATACGTGACATTATTAATGTTCTTATTTCAAACCCCAAATCAATTAGAACTTATTTTTACAATTATGTGAATCTTATAAAAATGAAAATTTAACAAATTAATAATTATTAAATTTTTCTCATTCTTTTAAGATCCATTTTCTAAATATTATACACTAGAAAATTTGTTTTTTTCAAGTATAAAAAAAAGTCTGCATGTCAGCCATCTTAAGTATGCATGACAACCATTTAAATTTGCATGCGTGACATTATTAATGTTCTTATTTCAAACCCCAAATCAATTAAAACTTTTTTTTACAATTATATAAATCTTACAAAAATGAAAATTTTACAAATTAATAATTATTATATTTTTTCTCATTCTTTTAAGATCCATTTTCTAAATATTGTACACTAGAAAATTCGTTTTTTAGTATGAAAAAGGTCTGCATGTCAGCCATTTAAGTAAGCATGCGTGACATTATTAATATTCTTATTTCACACCCCAAATCAAGTAAAACTTCATTTTACAATTATGTTAATCTTATAAAAATGAAAATTTTACAAATTAATATTTTTTTTGTTCTCATTCTTTTGAGATCCATTTTATAACATTATACATTAGAAAATTCGTATTATTTAAAATAATAATAATAATAATGAAAAAAATATATATACAGCCATCTTAATTATGCATGATAGCCATTTAAATCTGCATTTCGTGACATTATTGATGTTCTTATTTCACACCTCAAATCAATTAAAACTTCTTTTTACACTTATGATAATCTTATAAAAATGAAAATTTTACAAATTAATAATTATTGTCTTTTTTCGCATTCTTTTAAGATCCATTTTCAAATATTATAGATTAGAAAATTCATATTTTTTTTTAAGTATGAAAAAGTCTACATGTCAGCCATCTTAAGTATGTTTGCAAGCCATTTAAGTCTGCATGCGTGACATTATTGATGTTCTTATTTCACGTATACGAATAAAGTCTACAAGTGAAGTCTAAATGAGAACTCTACTATAATGAAATTTAACTAATTATTTGGTATTTCCTCTTATTATTAAGCAAGGAATTAAGAGTACATAATATATATATATATATATGTATTTATTTATTTGTACATAATATATAAGTTATTAATAATGTGGATACTTGGATATTTTGTTTATCGTGTTATTAATTTATCGGTTTTGAGTGAAAATTTTCTGAATATATAAACCTAGCAGAAAATTACATATATTAATAATAAACACTAAGTGTTCTTAAAATGTACATACAAACTAATATTTTAAAAAATTTAAGATAATTCAATATTTTTTTGACAACGAAATTACATATGGTTATTATAAAATTGTTATATCATCAATTTGTACAGTATTTTACACCTCCACAACTTGGAAAAATGGATCTTAAAAGAAAAAGAATGAGAGAAAAGTAACAAAAATCAATGAGTAAAAATTTTACTTTAATAAGATTAACATAATGTTAAAAGAGTAGTTTTAATTAATTTAGGGTGTGAAAAAAAAAATATCAACAATTAGAAAATAAATTTATTGGAAGAGAGAAAGTAAAAATGTCGTAAAGAGAATTTTAGAGATAAAATAAAAACAAATAACAGTTGACAAAAATAAAAAATAAAAACAAATAACATAAAACAGGTAAAGAGATTTTAATTACGAAAAGAGTAAACACTG